AGAGAAAGAGTGTGGAAAATTCGAACAAGTTGACACCAACAGATCAAATATAATATATTCTGTAATGTATTTTCCCTTTATATTATTCCACCATTTACCCATTATAAGGTCCTCGAAATTTCAATGCATGCACCCATAATAGGGCATAGCCCGGAATTAAAATTAGAAAAATTAATATTAAACACAAAATTAGTTATCATTTCACAGTCTTTTCCAACTCTAAAAAGAAACCAAACACATTCAGTTGCAATAAAATGGAAGTTTTTCACTTTCTTTTTGGGAAGCATACTTATTCATTACCTTCCTTTTTACCTCGCAAGGAATCATAATAGTAACCACGTAGGACAAAGGGGCCACCATCTGCAGCCTTAGGCGTAAAATTTCGACACCTCTTGAAAGCTCTCGTCTTTATCCATGATTTTCTCTACAAGTGCCAACTAAGCCCTTAGATTGTCTCAACTATCGTGACGACATCTGAAAATTTCAACATATCCTGGTTTGTACTGCTCTCAGGGTGATTAAACAGATTTTGGGGGAAGGTGACGCTAGTTGTATTGCACGACACTACATCAAACTCACCATCCTGTTTTTTGGCATTTTCGATAATTCGTGGAAGCTGATTGACAGGGACAGCTAAGTAGGTTGCGAGTCTCTCGGCTGGAATAGATTCTAATGTTAGGCTGATACACTCCAAAATGCTTGTGCGAACCCGCGTCTCAAAATGAAACGACTCTGGCAGATGTTCTTTGACTTTGCTCCACTGTGACCAAAATTTTGTGAATTGGCCGCAGGTTAAAAAGTTCTCCAGTTCGTAAATATCGGCAATTTCCTTCTCAACACTGGAGGAATCCTGCATGTAGCTCGCGACAAGGCACATGCAGGCCGTGAAATCACTAGTGTGGAATCGCGCAAGCGACTGCATCAAAATCCCAAGCAGAATAGCCTTGTCGGGCTGTGTACCACTCATCGCGAAGGTCTTGAGATAACGAAGGAACATCGGAAGGTCGTACCTCCCATCGCTCAAAACCTGGGCTATGTCTTTAACGTCTTCCTGCTGCGACATTGCTGGTGGTGATAGTAATGGATCTGTGATCACGTATTACTCGCTTTATTTGAAATCAATGCTTATTCAATTGGTTATGAATTCTTATCATGTATACATAAAAGTTATATTAGATAAAGCACAAGGAAATTGGAAAAAAAAGTAATCAGGAGCTAATATTACCTAAAACAGTGACATTTTTTTTTTTTATCGGAGGATTACTAAAAACGTAAACTTGCTTGTTATAGAAATGTTCCTATCATGGGTTTCCAGGAAACCAACGAAAACAGAATATTTGACAAAAGACCTAATCGATGGAATAATGCAAAACTGGTACGATATCCCTCATTACGAGCCACAGTTCATGGAAGATATATCAAATGAATTGGTCCTAACTCAATCGAATGGAACCGCATTGGAAAGGTGGACTGTAAAAAAAAGCTGCGAGATATTTTGTCACTTACCCTCTTAAAGATAATTGACTATCAGACAGCAACAGGAAAGAGAATAACGACAACGTAAAATTAAACAAGAAATCGGAAAATGAAATGTGATAACAGAAGACATGACATCTTGACACAGAAAAAAGGATTATCATTGGTTTGTTAGACCATATTAAAGTGCATTGGTGAATTTACTTGCGCTTAAAGCACTCTCTATTCCTAATTGTAGACATACTGACTGTGAGAGGAGAGTACTGAGCCAACCTATGGTTAAAAAAAGTTGATTTGAATTCATTAAACTTGAAAAAGTCAAAGCAATTCAACAATACACCACTCAGTAAATACTTGAAGCATATATAATCGCACATATGGTGGGTAGTGACCCAAAACATCACAGCCTATCGCTCACTTCTAATCGTGATACCGGAATGCACCCATTAACCTTATGTACCCTAGGCAATGACCTTACACAAACCTCGGTAAAAAAACATGGTTTCTTGCCGTACTCCTCTTGTTTTTCTTATCATAATCTAAAGGTCATCTCTACCTTCATCCAAGGCACCACCCACACACCGCCTCTGTTTAGCAAAATTGTGTGATATAATAAACAACTTCTTACAAAACAAAAGGTTAGAGACAAGCTCAATTTTTCGATCAAACTCCGAAAACAGATAAATCGGTTCCTTTTTTTCCTACTATTTCTTCAAAGCGAATGCATCTATAAGATTTTCATGAACTTTTTTGAGTTTCTTGCCTGTAGGTGCCACACTGGTGGGTTTTTTTTCTGTAATCAGTAATTCTGGGTATATCTAATTAGTGGGCTCAGTGTTGCTAAAGGCTTCCTGTCACCAACCCTTTCCTGGAACTGAACTCAAGTGTCTATGGAGCATTTGCAATGTCACTGGTGGATCTCTCCAATAGCGCAAAGAATGAATTAAATGTTTGCCTTCAATTCTAAAACCCTCATTGAATTAAAATTCCTTGCAATCTATGAGATATTTGCTCCCTCCTTTGAATCGAGAAGAAATGGCCATGTGAAAAAAAATTCACAACGATCGTTGGAGTTTTAAAGCGACCATATACTACACCATGAAGTAGAGCCTGTTGCTCGAGTCTACTTTTTATGATCTGAATACATTCCTCATCTTGGTGCCAGATCCAAATACAGAAAACTAGAAAGTGGAACAAAACAGCATTTCATGTGACGTGAAGGGAAAAAGGAATCAGTTACATTTATTTAAATAACTCTTTTTATATTTTTACAAAAGAAGATTGTACTGACTTTAATGAATTTAATAAGCATCCAGGTTCAGTGCTCAATTACCTTTTTAAATATATTTGTGGCTTATGAAACTCCTCGTTTTAAACCATCCCAAATACTATCAAAACTGAAGTATCTTCAGATTTCAGAAAATCTACGAAACGCATTATGGAAGTAGAGTTCCAATGAATTTGCTAAAAGAGGGCGTTTTCAGACCGAAACAAGGACCTCTAGCGGTGTGAAAGCTCTCTCAGGAGTCGTCCGTAAGCGTCAATGACAACCCTTTCCTAAAACGCGTTTTCAAGACGAAATCACGCGCCAACTGGTGTCCCCGTGCCGGCTCCAGCGGGTGCACGCGGATGGTAGTGTCATAAGGGTCCCCTGGCACCATATCCCACTGCTGAAACGAAAAGTACGGGAATGCCTGCCCGTGAGTGAGCATTCTGATCTGCGTTTCGAGGCCAAAGCTGTCGATCGCAGGAACCACTGCCCTCACGCGCACCAGAGTGGTGGCGGCGATGGGTACCTCCCCCACCACCGCCCCACGCCGCTGGCGGAGGATTTCACTCAATTTCTCCACCCATTCCGCCCCACAAAGCACCTCGCAGGAAAGCACCGGTTCGAGCAGCCGCGGCCGCGCGCCGAGGAGAGCCTGCCGGACGGCCCCGCGCGCGTTGGCGAGGACGACCGCCGCACGCGTATCGGGCGCGGCCTCAACCAACACCAGTCTCGCCGCGACACCGCGGACAACGTCGCCGATCAGCGGCCCCGCCGCGGTCGCCGCACGAAAGCCCGTGAGGATAGCCTGGCGATGAGCCGCAGGGATGGGCTGACGGAGCTCCTCCTCGAGGGTATCGTCGAGCAAAAGGCTCGGACCTCGGGTGGGGCTCGGGCCGAGCCCCAGGACGTGCTGCGCGTCCAAGGCATCGAGCCCATACTCCGTGCGCATCGTCGTCCACAGCCGCACCACCCGCCCGGGGTCGTCCGGGAAGAGATCCAGCGCCTCGCACTCCACAGCCTTCCCCAATCCAGGGGAGAGGGTGCCGCAGGTGAAGCCGATCCCCTTTCGTTGGGCCCCCGCGACGGCTAGAAGGCCCTCCTCGTCAAGCACCGTCTCGGAGAAGGGAACGTAGGGCGGGGAAATACCCACCTTCACTAACGGACACAGCACACAACGCAATCGGTGCAACGTCGTCTCCAGGTGAAGCTCGCCGTAGCCGGTGAAGGTGTATTCCCCCGTCTCCTCCTTGTGAAGGTCGAGCCCCGGGGAGGTGCGGAGGAGGATCTCCAGACCCCGTTGCAGCTTCTGGAGCTTGGACGGTTCCTTGAGCTCAAGGGAGACGTGCACCAACGGCCTTTCCGAGCTGAGGGGCTTTAGGTGGATCTGTGGCATCCAGGTCGTCTTTGGAACCTCAGTGGGTGCGGGATTCGCACCATTGAGCATCCCTTCCTCTAGAAGCAGCGCCGAGGCCGCAGAGCCGCCCACTAGGACGAGGTGATTCCCAACTCGGGATGCGTCGATTTTGGTTAGATAGACGATCTGTCCCGGATAAGCCGCCTCCACGGCCACAAACCCACCTTCCACGGTTCGAATATGGAGACGCTCAGGAGTTAGGGTGTAAAAGGGGTTCACATCGCTTGAGTAGTCATCGATGACGACAAGCTCACGATGACCGACCATCCCCGATCGCTTGGTGGCAGAATACAAGGTCCCACGCACGACACGCACCACAGCCGCTACCTCGTCTTCGTTGAGGGTGCAAAATAAAGGTGCAATCGCCGCCACTGTGGCCTTCTGTTCCTGACCCTCCTCCTCCTCCTCTTCTTCAAAACAGGCATTTAACCCGTAGTGACTGCCCAACCAACTTGCCCGTTGTCCTGGGGATGGTAAAACATCTAAAAGGGCGTCTAAGCTCTCCCCGCTCGGCTCGCCGCAGAAATACCGCACCGCCTCCTGAATCGCAGTGATCGAGGAACGTGGTAAGGCCAAAAGCTCTTTTGACAGGAACTGAGAACTCTTCCCGGTCGCAGAGTGTGCAATAACCTTATACAGCGGTTCTAAAATAAACGTCACGAATGTAGGGCGCTCACGAAAGGTAGTAATTCGCTTGAAGGTGCCCTTGTGAAACACGACTTGGCCCCACAGACACTGAGAAAGCATACCAATCTCGATACCGGGGTAGATCTCCGAGTATTTTTTCGCGAAGGTCACAAGTGAAAAAAACTGACCCAACTTGGTGGAGGAAAAGCATACTGTACCGTTCTCGGGTGAAACCACAAAGCTTCTAGATCCCGTCTTGTCTGGTGTCGCTGCGGCACGACAACTGCAGCTCATGATGATGTTATTCACAGCATCCACCACAAGACGGAGCTTGCGATACGCATCCAGAGGGGGCAACTTCAAGTCTATGATGAGGCGATCCACTTTGGTGATGACGAGCACCACAGGAAGCTGCTCGCGGAGGATGAGGTGCCGTAATAAACGCTCCCCTGTGGCGCTCAGAGATTCTACAGCATCGACGCAAAAAATTGCCGCGTCGACCAGGCGTAAGCCAGCAACCACCTCTTCAAAAAGGTCCGGATGGCCGGGGGTATCCACAAAAGTGATAAGCTGTGAAGATGGGTATAGCTCATTGCCACCCATCAGGGCTGACATGACGTGCGTTTTAAGCGATATGTGGCGATCCTTTTCGCTCTGATACTGTTGGTACCCCTTTCCACGAAGCAACATCCGCAGTAAGGACGTCTTTCCGTGCTGAAGGTCGCCGACAAGCGCAACATTTTTGAGGCGTCCTGGGATTTGAGCAACTGCATCAAGAAAAGTAAGTTCAGTAGCAACCGGCGCGGCGTGGTCGGCTATCAACAAGCCCTGAGTACCAGTTTTGGCGCCCTCTAAAAGAAACTCACTCTTTAAGACATCCCGCTTTGCGTGGTGATAACCGACATCAGAGGCCTCAACCAGTGGCTCATTGATCGATTGAGTCGCCGCTTCACCAAAAATCAGCTCGACGTCGTCGCTAAATCCGGATTTCGAGGAGGAGGCGTCGGAGAAGTCGGAACCCCTCAACTCACAGTTTTCCTCTTGACCATCGCTTTCATTGAAAGCATCGTCAGCGGTGAGGCCCTGGGGATGAGATGTCTTGTAGTTATCCTGACGATCCTCTTCAACATCCTCTACCTCTGCATCTTCGTTATCAGTGTATGTGTGATTAGTATGTTTATTAAAGTGGAAGTCCATGGGTCCCTGTAGATGATTTAATGGGCACTTTTGTGGAATGCGCTCGCACGTCTTTCTTCCTCTGAACAATTCCCTAGATATTCAAAGGCCCTTCACCACTAAAAGTATGGCAAACAACTCGTCACCTAAAAAACACACTTCCCAGTGAATAAAACACGTAGATATGTGTACCCTCGTAGGAGTGAAAGGGCAACACAAGAGTAGGAAGCCTTTCTTACTTGACCACCCTTTAAAATATATAGAAAAAAGAGAAACAATGAGAAAAAGTTGCAAGAAGTAAAAACGAAGATTCGCTTAGACGCTTTTCAGTGAAGCAATCAGTCATGAAGTCCCGACGCACTGTTAACATTATAACATTTGATGTCGTTTTATAAAGCTCAAGATGTTCACACAACAGGACCTCGGTGCTCATTACTTGCCGGTGTGCCGTTAGGCATTCAAAGTGGCTATTGCCTTATCTTCGGTGCCTCGTGAAATGTCGCCAGAACTCGTTGCTCTAGCGACAACTGATGCTCCAGTCTTTCAAGACCATTGCGCACCTGTTGCTGACGCAGTGCCTTGAGTTCTTCTATGGAGTCACCCTCCAGTCGCATTGCCATGAGATCCACCATGTTAGCGATGTCAGGGCGGTACTCCTCAATGCGCTTGCTATTGAATATCATGATAGCAAAAAGTACAAAAGCAAAGGATAATAGTACCGAAATTATAATATGCGTTTCAGGGGCAAAGTTATATTCTGTTCGACGTACTTCCCAATCTAAACACGAAACTAGTCCGAGACGATTAATATACAGTGTCCGCGAGAGGCGATCATCCTCTAAGATGTTAAGATCCTTATGTGCCTGACTAATTAACTCACGCTGCGCAGGGGCGCTTCTAATGGTACGATTACGACGAAATCCGCTTCTAATCTGTTGGATAAGTAGCATGCGGATGGTAACGTTGGGAATGCGGTTGGCTGACTTGAGGTAACGCCGATACAACAACGCTACAGCATCAGAAGGTACTAAGGCCGACATTGACTTTCTCAGTTGTCTATCTTCGCACTTTTTGAAAAAAAAACTAAACTTAAGTAAATAACTAAAAACAAGTTTTCCCCCCTTGCTCACTAAATTGTGAATAGAACTAAGTGACGATAAGTGTTGTAAATCAATAATTTGCCTATTTACGTTCACTGATATAGAAGCTTGGTAAAGAATACGATAGACCTTGCTGAACTTAGAGAAAAACACTCCCTACAGTTCAGTACTAAGACCCTAATTCATAGAAAAAGGCCACTTTTTCCATGTAAAAATGTAGAAAAACGCAAGTGAAGGAAGCCAGCATTTTGTGTAGAATACATTAATATTGCTATGTAGATTTCTAACATAGAAAGAACAGGGGAATCATCTTTTAGCCTCTTCCCTCTCTTTTTACCAAACAGTATTTTATAAATTAATAGCTATAATAAATATATGCCAATAAGAATAATACGACTTAATGCTAATTCCGTAATCGTCAAAACAAAATAGGAATCAAAAATAAAAAGAACTTAGAGAATAATAAGGGAATATGGAATGATGCGCTAAGTTACTTTGATTTAAGTCTAATAAAAAAAAAGCTTCTTTGTATCTTGCTAAAAAGGAGTATTAGAAGGTACAGGTCAATTACACTACTTAAGTCAATAAAATAAAATGAAAATGAAAAATTAAGGAAAGATGGCCTGAAATAATAAAAATATTAGAATTCAAAGTGAAACATGAAAAAAACATAGTCAAATGGCTTTATAAACAATATTTTAAACGGTTGTGTGACTTACGTAGCGATCTTAAAATCAATAATCATAAAAGCAGACACAAATACACAGAAAAAAAAATCAGGTGTTAGTATTGACAACTAATAGAAATCTTTTTTATTGTTATTGTGTATAAATGTATGTGTGTGTATTGCACAAATGGACTTGACACAATTTACACCATTTTTTTGATCCCTATAAACACCCCATTTTCCCACTGTGGTTTTGTCTTGTGTGCCTCGTAATACTTCAGTGCGTTAAGTTTCCGGCGGTTCAAAGACTTTAGCTTTCCCTTGACATACTCCTGCTTCTTCAAATCTACTGCGTTCTTGGGAAGGGTGATGTGTGGTGTAGTGGTAAGCGCAAAGGAGATGGCGAGACGATCCAAGTTAAGCTGGTGCACGTTGAAGGTGTCCTTGAGGATATGACTCTGATAAGCGCCCACGTGAGCACGGAAAGCGCTTACAGCACTCTTCGCCACCATTTCATCCAGCTGTAACACATGGTTAAGCTTTTCCTGAATATCGGGAAGTTTTGTGGGCATAGGGTACTCCTCTAGTTTTATGCCAAAACGACTCAGGTATGGGATGAAGTTAACTTCCTCGGATGCCAGAAAAAGCAAGGAGTTTCCGATATTTCCAGCACGCGCCGTACGCCCGATACGATGAATGTACTCAGTCGGGTCCAATGGAGGATCGTACTGCAGAATCCACTCGACCTTCGGTATGTCCAACCCACGGGCCGCTACGTCCGTGCAAAACAAAACGCCATTCTCACTATTCCGAAAGGCCTGAAAAACTGCGAGACGTTGCCGGTGCTTCATGTGCCCATGCAGCATCATCACATCGTGATGGAAACCGACGGAGCCCATCATCTGAAAATGGAACGTGGTACTGGCGACGGAAGAGCAAAACACCATCGCCTTCGACGAACGCGCCACCCGTTTCACGAAGACATAGAGGCTCCGCAGGCGATCCTCCAGCTGCACTACGCGGCAGAATTGAGATAAAGTGGAGGGAATCGCATCGGCGGCATCCCCCTCCTCTGCCGCTGGTGAAGAGTTGTGATTGCTGCTGTCTTCGCAAGCCTCTTCCTCTTCCTCCTCCGCGGCCGTAGTGCACACCTCGCCAAAATGGCGATAGGGCGGCAGCGCGACGGCGCCGAGGCCGAGATCGGCGCCATCATTGCCCATCACTGAAATTGGAATTGGCGCTTCCCCCGCCGTATCGATGAAGATCGGCGTTCGAGTAAGCGAAAGTCGTGCGAGATCCTCCACCGACTTCGAGTTGGTCGCGGAGAAGAGCAGGGTTTGTCGACTTTTCGGGAGTCGCTCGATCGTGGCGTCGAGGTCGCGCCGGAAGCCATCCGCGAGCATGCGGTCCGCCTCATCCAAGACCAGAAACCGCAGTCGAGAGAGATCCCACCCGGGGCAATGTCGGACGTGATCCCGCACACGCCCAGGGGTGCCGATCACAATACCGGCCCCCATAACAAGCCGCCTCCGCTCCTCCGTGATTTTCGTCCCACCGGTGATGAGCTGGAGGGAGAAGATCCCTTCCGGGAGGTGCTGGCCGATTCGTCGCAGGACGTCGTGTGTCTGCACACAGAGCTCCTTGGTGGGGCTGAGAATCAGTGCGGAAGTCGTGCAGGGGGAGGGGAGGGAGGGGGCCCGGCGCCATGTGGTGAGCTGCAGAAGGGGGACGCAAAAGGCGAGGGTCTTGCCGGAGCCCGTGCGGGCCTGCCCGAGAAGATCGTAGCCCTCGAGGACGTACGGCATCGCGCGTGCCTGGATCGGCCGCATGCGGTAAAAGCCCTCAGCGTGGAGAGCGGTGACGAGGACTGGGTCGAGCCCTATCAAAGGGTGGGCGAACCCCTCCTCCGAGGAGGAAGGGGGAGCCGTGGGGATCGACTCTTCGCCCTCGGCTGGAAAAGGTTCTTCGGGTGGAGAGGGGCATCGTCCTACAGGGGTCGATGGGTGGAGAAGCGCGCCGGAGTGAAAGCGGTGGCCGAGGTAGCGGCGCGTGATGTCGATCACCCTCGCGTCGTCGCTGTCATCGCCTGAATCGCCGTTCATTGTCGAGCTGCTACGCTGGCGCTTTCGGGTTAATGGCTTGAGGTGGCTCGTGCGGCGATGTTCGTGTTCTTCCCGGATGCGATCGAGGTAATCCTCGTCCTGCATTCGGAATAACTCGCTCTTTTTCATTCGCATTGATGGGTAAGCATTCTCTTCAGAGTTAAACGACCCAGACGGAGGATTATTGACAAAATTATCCCCACTTTGGTTCGAGTTGATGCTTAATCTTTCCTCTTCACCTAAATCTCTGCTGTTGTAGTAGCTATCCATATTAATACAATGGCCGGAGGCGTCTACTTTTATATTCTCTCCAGAATTTTTCGCCTGTTGACGCAATAGTTTCTTTCGTCGGCCTTTAATTCCCATCTTAATGCACTAAAATGTTGGACTTGAAACTATCTTGACTTTGGCATTGTCGTGATTCATAATGCATTAGAAATACAAAATTACAGTATTATACATAGAAAAAAAAGCGAATATATAAATAAATTTATTATCAATGAGAATTCTCAAATGGGTTACTTGTTGATTTGTTTGTTTGTTTTGAAGGGAGAGGGAAGTTAAGCCCCATTCTTTGTAAGTGTGATACACCACAGTAAGGATGAAAATACCTCAATGGATGAGATGATCCACAATCAATGGAAAAATAAAACGATCAGACTCACTTTTTGAGACAAAGAGTCTCAAGGAAGAAAAAGATAATGAATGAGAAAGATTGTATAAATGAAATGTGAAACAAATTTCCCTTCATAAGTAGAATAATTCGAGTACTCAGCCGTGAAAATCAACTGTACTCTGAAAAAAGCCCAACATACACTACCCCTGTCGTCATACCTAAGCCTTTTCGAAGCAAGTCTGCTGTCTGTGGTCGTGGGGCAAGCCTAAGATGCGCTTGCTTCCAAAAAAACCACGCATGACGGCACTTGATGGCGCCAATTTCCTCAGCGCACTTTGGAAAGTAAGCACTCCCAGGTGGTATGTCGTGTACTTGAGAATTCAGTGCAGAAGCACTACCAGGGCAAGATTCGTCACCCTCCTTAGTATAGGGTTTGCCTCGACGAGATTGAATAAGTGGCAAATAAGCATCTGTATGCTTCCTTTCTGTTTCCATTAATTGCTTGATTGTATTCCCATCATTGCTTTTCACAGAGGAACAATATTTATCGGCAGAGTATGCGCCCTCGTCCGAATCAAGCGGTGCCGATGGCTGATGGAAACGTGGATGGACACTAGTCTCCATCGCGCTCAGCTCTTCAAGCACGCAGCTCGGAACCAAAACAGGGTTCAACGCCATCGTAAAGGTGCAGCCCAGGCGTAACTCCTCCATGGCACGGTCAAGTAACGTCTTCAGGGAGGACCCATCCACCCCGCAGCTGCCCTGGTCCAGGCTATTCCCATTCCCCTTCAACAATTCGTCATCGCCTGGGGACTGCACAGCTGCGGGACTGTCAATCAAAGGAAGCCCTAGATCGCTTCGGCGTTGTTTCCGCCGACCCTTCCTTTCAAAACGACGAAGCGCGCATTGAAGCAGCCGATCTCGAACAGGGGTGCGGGTCTTATCCAGGATTGCGTTAACGCAAGAGTTGAAGTACCCCCCACCCACGAAAGCACGCCACACCCCAAAGGCCTCCATCCCGGACATGGAATCGAACCTCAATCTTGCCGCATTTCGAGGCAGCAGCGGGGCGTGAAAAGGGTCCATGGTGAAGTGGGCGTAGGACGTGTAGATCTGCGGGGAGGCGCGTTCCAGACGGGAGGAAAACCCCCGCGGCCAATCACAGAAAGGGGCGTCCACGGATGTGTGGAAATCGCCCATGGCGTTTGGTGTGATCGCAGATGAAAGGTGCGTCGAGGACGAGGAAACGAAAGGGCTGCTCGGCGCGCCGAAAACCACCTCGCATAGCCCCGCAGCCCCTAGTTCAATCACCAGTGGTAAATAACCACGAATATCCATCTCACACGGAATAGGCAAGCGACGCTGCCAAAGGATGTCACCAGAGTCCATCGCAATCTTTCCAGGGGGTAGACGAATGACGCTTGCGCCCCCCTCCGTCTCGTTTCGCATGAGCGTTGAGAAAACTGGGCTCGCGCCGCGGTAACGCGGGAGTAGGGAGGGATGCATATTAATCGTCCACGGTAACCGATGTAGGAGTCTTTCCGGCAGAAAATACCGAAACGAAACAACAATGGCGAGATCAAAGTCCTGCAAAGGACGCCCGGCAGTGCCCCATGTCCATCCCAGAGGAGAGGTGTCATCGGTTTCCGACCTCATCGTCGAGGCGCCATCGTCCTTCGCGAGATTGGAGGCATCCTCCAGCATCTCCCGCAGCAGACGGCTCTTCGCGAGGGAGTGGGGGTGGTCGACCGGGATCACGCGAAGCCCCTCCACCGCGCCGTATCGCGCAATGGGGAACTGCCGGGAGTAGCCCTCCGCGGCTTGTTGAGGGGAGAGCCCATCGGGCAGGGAAGGGCAAACTACCGTCAGACGGTCTCGCACAAGAGCCTCAACGCGCGCGTTGGGATCCCCCCCACAAGGCGTGTGGGGGGGGATGGAATGGACGATGTGGCAGAGAATGCGCCGCATTCGCGTGTGCAGCGCTTTCAGAGAGGCCAAGGATACGACATCTCCACCAAAGAACAGGATACGGGGCACGCAGGCCTCGATCGGCTGAGATGCCGAAGAGCGTTGCGTTTCCAGTTTATCGCGGTTGCAGGGCTCGGAGGCTTCCCTGTATTTCGGGCTCACGCTGCGATGGGGGCCCGATGAAGCCCCAAGACCGTCACAAAGGAGGTCACCCCCTCCATAGAGTGCCCGAATGTGGAAATCCATGGCGCGGTTTCGGCTGAGAAACGAGTTTGAGAAGGTCGAAAACGGTATTGAAAGGACGCCAGTTGAGCGCGTGCGTAGTAGGAAGCCCATCCCAAGGCGTCATCTATGGTGTAATGATAGCCGCTGGAATGTGAAGGGATAGAGACCCTTAACGACAACAAACTAGACCACAGTGTCGCTTCTGAGATGGACCGCGTTGGGTGGAATGGTTAAAAAACAAGACAATACGTTTGTTTTTTGTCGAAATCAGTGTCACTGATTTACTGTAGACAAACTTTTCCCAAAACTAAAGAAGGTGAAAAATAGGATAAAGGGAATAATTTAGAAGTAGATTGTTTGCAATTGTTACGATTAAATTCTAAAAATAAAACCTCTTTAGCTAAATAAAATTTATGGAATCAACAAAACTATACTTCAAAAAAAAAAAATCTGGCTAATGTACTAGATATAGGCATTCTGGCGTCTCTCAATAGTAGTCACATATTCTTCAGTGAAAAAAAATGTCTTAATGCGATGGACATTTATTTTAAATAAAATATCTTCGTTCGACTTAATTTACACTTCCACATTGACAACGACAAAACGGTGATGAAATATAGCAATTAAAAGTAATAAATAAATTATAAAAATGTTTATTCCTATTTTTTTACTTTATGAATCCCATTTTTCGACCGTCTTGTCAAAAAAGATATAGTAAAAATGCCCTTCTATTTTCTTATATGCTTCCCAAAGTGAATAGCATATTGCCTAAAACTTCAGACTTCTTTATTACGAATTTTTAAATCACATTTGATCTCTTTTTAGTTGTGAATTATTTCTTCAATATTTAACTATTCTCGGACAAAAAATGTCAAGCTTAGAGAGATCTTTTTAATTAATATAATAGTTTAACATATAACTCATATAAATGCAGAAATATATATATATTTATATATATATATATATATATCTCGAACCTAGGAATGAAATATTAGACAGAAAAGTGAGGACAAAGGAAAAAGAAACACAGAAAAAAACAATTCAGGGAAAAAAGTCCATACGCTTGAATTAATAATCATATATTGAGATGGTAACAACTAGAATACCACTGAATCGAAAATATAACAAGTGCATGTTTAAAGAGAAGCAATATAAAAAGAGTACTATCTTCGTCAGTACGCAAAAAGCATAAAAAAATGTGGGATATTTTAGCTCCTAGACTCAGTGATGTTCCTTAAAGAAAAAGCAACATCAAGCTGAAAAAAAAATGAACCCTAACAAGGAGGGAAGATGATAATAAATGGTGGAACGAAATATTTTTTTTGCATAATGAACCAGTAATTTTAACAATATTCAGTAAATAATCAGAGGATATCAATCTGAATTATTTCAGCATATTTGTATCCATTTTCTTACTAGTTCAGAAAACAAAAGTAATGCATTCCATCAAACATCATTATCCAAATTGAAATAATATATATGTTGAATCACACAGATAAATATATTTTATTTCTCTTGGATTCATTCGTATAAAATACTTGCCATAGTGTTTTGATTATCGCTCAGATGATTACTTTTTCTAGTTTGTTTACTAATGAAGGCATTCTTTTTGGCTGTAAAAAGTTAATTCCTATTTCTTTCCCCATCCCTTTTCGTTGTAAATCTAAATGAAAAACCAAGGTGTGCGTACATTAACTTGAATAAAAATACACAAAACATTAACACAAGTTTGAAAAAAGAACCAAAATCTGTAAAATTAAATAATTAGCTTCAATGATAAGGCTTTTTTACACCATATGGAAAAAAAAGGATATCTTGAAATCAATTTTATGCATTCATGACTTGAGTGAAAATTTCATAGATCAAAAAGTATAAGCATATCTCATCTCCCTTTGATGATAACAAAAACCTGTTACTGATTAGTTTACTGCATACTAAACAATATAAATAAAAACCTCATTTGAAAAATAGAGTGAAAACACCCTTTTTCTGAATTTAGATTGTAATTAGTATTTTTAAAAAAGACATATTTATCCCATAATTCCTCATGCTTTATTTAATAAAGCTCATCATAAAGAGTGGGTAAAATATATATATATATATATAGAGATTGGGGGGGGGGAACTCTAGAAACAGTGAATAGAAATGACCAACTAAAAAAAGGGGCTAGACGTATAGTATTTTATTCATGCTATTCTATTTTGAGGCATATAAAATTATATACTAGAATTGGTTTCAACATAGAAAAAAAGGAATGAAAATTACTACAATAGTATCGTATATATTATTTACTTTATACTAT